CACATACACCCAAATAGCAAAGAACAACTAAATCATTCAACGTGAGATGTAGGAAGTGGGGTGCAATGTCTTAAATGTCCTGTCATGTCTGGACTCTTTCTCTAACATGAAGGAAATAAATATTAAGTCTTTGAGTCTTTGAAATCCCATCCTAAGTATAATGTTCAAGGTCAGAGTACAAATATCTAAAATATAGAGATGAGGACTTTCTCTAATTCTCTGATGTTTTTATTTAAATACATTTTTTAAATATTGTTTATTTTAAGGGCGTTTCACACCTGGCTCCTTGGTGCGTTGGGCTTGGATCCACACCACAATTAGTCTGAGATCGTCTGAGCAAGTTTCTTGACCCGACTGAAAACAAACTGGAGAGATTTGGTTGTGTTGCGAGAGCAATCCAAACAATCGGACTGACAAACCAAGCTGTATCATAATTTATAATGAGAAATATTACATAAAAATCAGTTAGAGCAGGATTGAAAGTGTATATACATTTGTAAAAGTGTGTGTAAGGACAGCTACAGATAAAATCCATAATAAACCAATAGAGCTGATTTGTCAGTACATGTCGATGGGTGCCTCCAAGAGTGGAATCCCAGAACATAAACCGGTGGGCTCTGACCAATGAAAGGTCAGATTTAGCTGTTGAATACCAGAGTTGTGACACTCCCATAGGCTTCAATAGGAACTGAGGGATGCGGAAGTAAAGGGTGTCATGGATCAGCCAATAGTTCCAAACCACTAATAGTTCCAGCATTGAAGCCCATTCATTTCAGAATGTTGAAGAAATTGCAGCATTTTTTACATTTTTAATGCATTAGTTGAACTCTTGGAAATCTGGCCAGCAGCGGCATTTTATGAAGCACGTAATAGTTAACGTTTATCATTAGATAGATAGTATATATATAGATAGATAGATAGTTACATTATAATTGCAGTTAGATAATATGAGAAACACCATAGCAAGATGCTAGTTGTCATATTTTTAAGCTTTTAGCCTTTCTGCAATCTTTCTCTCCCTGAAGGAGGTTGAATGAGTTTCAATGAATACAATAAAGAGTTTCGCTGAATGCAATTGGTTTGCCTTGTGTTTTTTTTATACATTTTAAACCTTTGTTTATTGGGTTCAATTACGTATATGCTTGCATTTTGTAATATTATCTTGTGTTGTATGGTTATGTGAATATCACAAAATAACACTGGGAAGTAAGTAATTAACCTTGTTAAATGTAATATTTAAAAAAATCGAGTGTTTGTTAATGTCTAAATATACATTCAAATGCAAAACCTAAAAGATTAATGCATCATAATGTGTGACAGCAAGATCAAAGCATGTTGCAGCTTGGTATGCTTTGGAATGCTGCATTTTGAAAGCAAACTTATTTTGAAGTTTTGTTGTGAATGAATGAATGAATGAATGAATGAGGCATTTATATAGTGCTTTATTGTGTATTGCTGTGCACCCAAAGCACTTTACAATCATATGAGGGGGTCTCTACTCAACCACCATCAGTGTGCAGCCTCCCCTTGGATGATGTGACGGCGCCAGTGTGCTCACCACACACCAGCTACAGGTGGAGAGGAGAGAGAGAGAGAGCCAATTCAGTGGATGGGGATTATTAGGAGACCATGATTGACAAGGGCCAGTGGAGAGAATTTGGCCAGGACACCGGGGATACATCCCTACTCTTTACAAGAAGTGCCATGGGATTTTTAATGACCACAGAGAGTCAGGACCTCGGTTTAACGTCTCATCCAAAGGACGGTGCTTTTTATATTATAGTGTCCCCGTCACTATACTGGGGCGTTAGGACCAACACAGACTAGAGGGTGAGCAACCTCCGCTGGCCTCACTAACACCTCTTCCAGCAGCAACCTAGTTTTCTCAGGAGGTCTCCTATCCAGGTACTGACCAGGCTCAACACTGCTTAGCTTCAGTGGCAACCAGTCTTGGGCTACAGGGTGATATGGCTGGCTGTTGTGGTCTTGCCTTTTCTGTGTTCATGTTTCCCCTTCCCTTTGTATTCTGGTATTTCCTCTGTTGTCACTGTTTCATGTAATGCTTTTTTTACAATGTATAAATATACCCATTTTCTTTTGTCTCCTCGAGTATTTTGTACTCCGTGTTCTTATTTGCCAGTGACTTTTGGTTTATTCCAACACATTTACATTTATGCACTTAGCAGACACTTTTATCCAAAGTGACTTACTAAGACAAGTTCACATTTTTGTTATGAAGTTCAGGCTGTTTCCACTTTAGTTTTTTTTTCTTCCCTGCTTTTCATTTTTGGGTTCTTTATGTTACTATCACAATTTCAGTACACTGCATTTGTGTTCTTTACCACATCATGCCTCATGAGTTGTCTTTTAAAACAGTGATTGAGTATGTGATAAAGTTTGAAAGTGGAAAAAATAATGGAGAACAAAGTCAAACTCTGCCATTTAATGGACACAGAAAAAGTCAGTCATATGCTTGCTTGTAGGTGTAGCTTCTTGTGTTCATTCTTCATCTTTAGTCTTGAAAATGAATAAAATAAATTTAAAAAATAGATTTTGTTGAAAATGTTTCTTAGATTTTATGTATAAAACATCACTTTTCTTTACATAATCATCATCTATTGTTACCTTCCCAGCTTCACGGCTCTTGGCTCTCAGCTTGTTGACCTGGGACTCGGCAATGTCAGCGCGCTCATGAGACTCCTCCAGCTCATGCTG